TTCTAATAAAGTTACGCATCAACCGCACTGCACGCCACCGCACGGCACCGCACAGGAGTGAAGGAGGCACGGAGCACGACATGGAAGCGGCCAGTCTCCATGCAGGCGTTGCCATTTGCTCTCAAAACCCCCTCTCCTCCTCGCCTCCTTGGCTCCTTGGCTCCTTGCTCTCCTCGCCTCCTTGGCTCCTTGGCTCCTTGCTCTCCTCGCCTCCTTGGCTCTCGGATGCCTCGGGATCACGTGTGCTCCCCTTGCTCTCGAGAAACATACGAGCCTGTCGAGATATCCTTGGCACACAGGCGCTCTGTGGACGGGCGGCACATAAGAGTGGGACGACGTGGGTGGAAGAAAGAGTGCGGGAGGGGAAGGACGTGCGAGGTGAAGCACTCTGCACAAACATGCGAGGTTGGAATGGGAGAGACCCGGGGGGGCATGAAACAACACAAGATAGTATCCTCTCCTCAGCACGCATGGGAGAGAAAGGGCCATGGGGGATGGAAACAACACAGTCGTGCAAACAGCAAAGTGAGGAGAGTTGAGGGTGCGTACTGAGGTACTCATAGGTGGACACCATGGCGGTGCCCCACAGCATGGTGCTGGCACAGCGAGGGGCAAACCCCCGGTACAGCCCCCTCATGCCGTCCTGTGCCACTAGCTGCCGCACCACCGCCGATACAGACGCTTCTGACCCTGTCTTGCGCCCCACCTGCCATTAACGGAGAAGCGTGGGGGGTGGTTTGCGGAGTGGTGTGTCGGGTAACACAGTCAGCTACTGCCCCCTCATGCCATCCTGCGCCACCAGCTGCCGCACCACCGCCGATACAGACGCCTCTGACCCTGTCTTGCGCCCCACCTGCCAAGGGGTGTGTGGGGTGGCGTGTGGGGTGCTGGTGCTGCTCCTGCTGCCTGCCAGGTGGCATGTGGTGCCAGGTGGCACGTGGAGTACGGAGGTAGGTTCGGAGTGGAGAAACATAAAGAGCAGTCTAACTGGACACGAGGGAGAGACCGACTCACCTGGATGCGCGTCTTGACGGTATCAAGAGGTGTGGCGGCGAGCGCAGTGGCCAGCCCCGCACAGATACCCCCTGCCACCCGCACTCCCGCCAGGAGGGGGTTTGTCTTCACCCCTCACTCACACCAAGAGACTGTGTGAGCACAAGAGAGATCATCTCACCTGGATGCGCGTCTTGACCGTGTCAAGAGGCGTGGTGGCGAGCGCAGACGCCAGCCCCGCACACACGCCCCCTGCCACCTGCACGCCCACCACCAGACCCAGAGGGGGCGCTGTGGTGCTGCCCGCTGCATGCACGTAACGGTCGTATGTGCTGGCACGGGGGGGAGGGGGGGGGGCATGGGAGGAGGGGGATTAACGGAATGCCACCTGCACGCCCACCACCAGGTTCAAGGGAGGAGCTGCGGCACTGCCTGCTGCTGCTGCTGCTGCTGCTGCTGCTGCTGCTGCTGTAGAGGCATGGACGTAACGGCCGCATGTGCTGCCATGCAGGGGCGTGAGGGGAGTTGGGGGATTATGGGCGTGATGCGACGGGTTCAATGCGATGGAAGTCGATGCTATGCGGTGCATGGAAGGGGGTTGATGAGTAAGATGCGAGTGGGAAGGTGTGGGTGGGTGGGAGAGCGAGAGAAAGAGGGCGGATGTGGGGGGCGAGATAGAAGACGAGACGAGCGAACCACAAGCACAAAGCAATGCCATACGTGCGCCACCAGATGAACCCCAGGGGCACATAGGCCATCCACGGAGTAGTGCTCTTTTCCAACGTTCATGTGTGCTAATAGGCTAGCAGGTGCTCTGCTGACAGGGGAGGCAAGGGGGGCGGAGTGGGGATGTGCCGGGGGGGGGGGGGGGGGTAGTGTCCCTCCCATCTAATGCGCACGTCTCACCTCCAGAAGAACCTTTGAGCGGCGCCATACGTGCCCCACCAGATGAACCCCGAGGGCGCATACGTCATCACAGACAGCCCAAACCCGCGGTACAGCCCCCTTGGGCCCTCTGTTTTCAGGATGGTCACTAGTGCGTGGAGCCCCCCTGTGTACCGCACCGCTCCTGCCGCTGCTGCTGCTGCTGCTGGTGGGGGTGGTGGTGGTGGTGCTGCTGCTGCTGCTCGTAACGGTGGTGGTGCTGCTTGCCTGGTGGCGTGGTTGGAGGGTAGGTCCCCCTGTTGGGCCACAAGACGGGAGCTGATCTGATGGGCGGAGAGGGGGCAACCGGGGCGGAGAGGGGGCAACCGGGGCGGAGAAAGAGTGAAGGACGCAAAAGAGGGGACGAAACCGCGGGAACGGTGCGGAGGGAGGAAGGAAGGAGAGGGCGAGAGGGGAGGGAAGAAGGAAGGAGAGGGCGAGAGGGGAGGGAGGAAGGAAGGAGAGGGCGAGAGGGGAGGGAGGAAGGAAGGAGAGGGCGAGAGGGGAGGGAGGAAGGAAGGAGAGGGCGAGAGGGGAGGGAGGAAGGAAGGAGAGGGCGAGAGGGGAGGGAGGAAGGAAGGAGAGGGCGAGGGGGGAGGGAGGAAGGAAGGAGAGGGCGAGAGGGGAGGGAAGAAGGAAGGAGAGGGCGAGAGGGGAGGGAGGAAGGAAGGAGAGGGCGAGAGGGGAGGGAGGAAGGAAGGAGAGGGCGAGAGGGGAGGGAGGAAGGAAGGAGAGGGCGAGAGGGGAGGGAGGAAGGAAGGAGAGGGCGAGAGGGGAGGGAGGAAGGAAGGAGAGGGCGAGAGGGGAGGGAGGAAGGAAGGAGAGGGCGAGGGGGGAGGGAGGAAGGAAGGAGAGGGCGAGAGGGGAGGGAAGAAGGAAGGAGAGGGCGAGAGGGGAGGGAGGAAGGAAGGAGAGGGCGAGAGGGGAGGGAAGAAGGAAGGAGAGGGCGAGAGGGGAGGGAGGAAGGAAGGAGAGGGCGAGAGGGGAGGGAGGAAGGAAGGAGAGGGCGAGAGGGGAGGGAGGAAGGAAGGAGAGGGCGAGAGGGGAGGGAGGAAGGAAGGAGAGGGCGAGAGGGGAGGGAAGAAGGAAGGAGAGGGCGAGAGGGGAGGGAAGAAGGAAAAGGATGCGCGTGCTAGAGTCGTGCTTGTGTCATTCTTTCGTGGTGACTCTTGGCTGCCATACACACATGCACGCACATGCAATCGCTCACCGACTCACTCCCACTTGCACTCTCACTTCCTCACTCACTCACCCACTACTACTCAATCCCTCCAACCCTTCCCTTCCTGCACCACTCCCTCCCTCACTCTCTCTCACTCCCTCACTCACCACATCAACGGGCACAACCACGGCTTGGGTGGCCAGAGACGCGCACATGCCGCCCACTGCGCTGGCCAGCCCAGCTGCTGCCGTATCAGACAAATGCAGCCACCGCCCCGTGCCGCCCGTCCCACTGCTGCTGCTGCCATCGCTGCTCGTGCTGCTGTCATTGCTACTGCTGCTACTGCTGCTGCTAGCACCACTGCTCTTACTGCTACCATTGCTGCTACTACTGCTGCTGCTGCTAGCACCTTCCAAATGCCCCTCTAAAGGCAGCTCCGTTACGCCGTTAATCCCTTTAAGCGTGTTCGCCTTCACTGCTTCCAGCACCGTCATATAAATGATCCTTCCAGGCAGCATCCCCGCCACCACGGTGCCCATGCCGCGGAAGAAGCCCCTCGGCCCCTCCGTGCGCGCTATGTGCCGCGCCATGTCCACCGCTAGCCGCACGGACGACGGGCTTCTGCCCCCTGCCGCTGCAGCTCCTGCTGCTGCTCTTGCTGCCCCTGCTGCTCCTGCTGCCCTCCCTGCTCCTCCTGCTGCTGCGGATGCCCCTCCTGTAGATCTCCCACCTGCTGCAGCTGTTGCTCCTGTTACCGGTGTTACCAGTGTTACCGGTGTTACTGGTGTTACTGGTGTTACCGGTGTCACACCTGTAGCCACTCTGGCCCCTCCGACTGTCCTTGACGCGGCCCCGGCTGCCCCTCCGCCATTCCCCCCAGCGCGAGCTTCCGCTCCCCGCGCCTCCGCCCCCCGGACTACTCCAGTTCCCTCCACTCTCCCCACTCCCGCCGTTCCCCCCAACCCCACATTGCGCGCTGCCTGCGCCGCCCCTGCCTGCGCGGCAGCAGGCCTTACGGAAGCAGCAGTGGCGCCCGCTCCAGCGGAAGGGGAAGCGGAAGCCGGGGCGGAGGTGGAAGCGGAAGCGGAAGGGGAGGCGGAGGCGGGGGCGGCATGGGCGGCGGCGAGCGGCAGCGGGGAGACCTGCAGGCGCGTCTTGATGACGGAGAGCGGATAGAGCGCAACGGTCAGTCCGCTGAAGAGCCCCGCGCCCACTAGGAACATGCGCGACTTGTCCAGCCTGGCGGGCAAGGGGAGGGGAGGGGGGGGGGGGAGGGGGGGGAGAGAATTAGGGACGTGTGTGGTCGGGGGATGGGGAAGTGGCGGGAGAAAACCGAGAAGGTCGGTTGGGCACTTGCAGAAACCCTAATTTGCCCAAACGCTCGCTGGCACAGAGGGCTGCCGATCCGCGCGAACGGAGGAGAAAATCGACTCGCAAGAGGTACTTTGAGGAGAATCAACACGGGAGCTAGTAGCGAGGGACGTCTAATGGAGATGACGTGAGACGCCACGCGAGATCTGGATCGCACGACGGGCGACGAAACGAGGGGGGGGAGGGTCGCTGAAACGGCGGAAGCAGGGCGGACTGGTGAGAAGGGGGGAAATGGTTGGGTCAACGGACCTGTCCCAGTCGATCTCGGGCGATGCGGCGCGAGGACGAAGCAGACGGTGGTTGGGCACGGTCGCCATGGCTGCTGGAGTCAGTGGCGAAGGAAGTTGATGTAGCCGTGGAAAATTATTTATGAAAGTTACTGATGGGAAAATTGCTTATTGTTTTCTCCGGCGTACGTGACTCCATGGCCCAATGGATAAGGCGCTGGTCTACGGAACCAGAGATTCTGGGTTCGATCCCCAGTGGAGTCGACTCTTTTGGCTTTCTTCCCCAAGACTGCAGTTTAGTCACCAGCAGCAACAGCTAGGGAATCAGTTCATGACATATATTTATATTTATACATCCAACATACACGGCATCGAGTAGGAAATACAAGAGTAGCAAGCTCCTGTTTATGTCCTTCCCTGTACTGCCAACATCCTTGGCCTATGGAGCAGCTCTGATAAAACCTCTTCCCCAGTGGTACTCTATCACCGAGTCCCCAGCAGCCCCCACACCCCCATGCGCAGCAGCAGCAGCAGAGGCAGAGATGTCGATGATGGGAGCCATGAGGCCAACCGCAGGCGCACCCAGGTGCCACACCCGGATGCCATGCAGCCCTGCATTCGCCTTCAGGCTCGCACTTGCATTTGCACCCACACTTGCACTAGCACTACCGCTCACACACGGGCTGGAAGTGGCCGGCTGTGCTGCGGTGTTGGTGCGCCGGGGTGTGGTGGTTCGCTGGCATGGGCTTGAGTGCTCGCTTGTGCTCGGGCCGTGGGCTGCTGCAGTGGCGTTGCGGCATGTGTCTGCATTGTCCAGTGCACTGCCATGTGCCGCGTGTGGCGGGCCGCCTATGCTGTGGTGGCGGCGGTGCTTGGGGATGGGAGGCATGCCCCCTCCTCCCGTGCTGCCATGCCTCGTGCTGCTCTGCTTCTCCTTGAGCTGCCATGCCTGCTGCTGCTGCTGCTGCTGATGATGATGATGATGATGATGCTGATGCTCATGGTACTGCTGATGCTCTTGGTACACTTGGAGTTTCTGCTGGCCCACTGCAGGCACCAGCACGTCTTGTATCGGAGGTGCTTGTATGAGAGCAGCAGCAGGGGCACCAGAGCCCTTCCTCCCGTGCTGTCCGCGGCTCACACTGCTCTCCATGCTCATGCTCCGCCCCACACCCTGCGCCCCATTCTGCTGGCAACTGCTCATAGGCCCGGCGGTAGACGCGGCAACAAGTCCGGCAACAGGTTCGTGCGTTGGCTCGGCAGTATGCTGGCCAGCTGGCTCATAGAGAACCTGACAAACCACCTGAAGGGGCTCAGGTTGCTGACCTGGCAGAATCTCCTCCTGACCTGGCGCCAGGGTAGGGGCTGGTGGGACGGCTTGCCCTCCAGCTTCCCTGCAGCGACTGGGCAGCTGCAGCAGCCCCTTGCCACGTGGCAGCGTGTGATTAGCCAGGTTGGATCTTTGCCGATCCTCACCCGGCACCAGTGCTTGCGTTCTCCCCCCATCACCCTCCTGCCTTTGCATTCTTCCACACCCATCCTCCACCCCTTGCATCATTCCCTCCTCTCGCCCCGCCTGCCCTTGCTTTCTCACATTGCTGCCCCCCTCCCCTTGCCCTGGCTGCTTGCCAAGGGAGGAGTGGGAGTTGGGGTGGGAGGGGGGGCGAGGGGAGGAGGAGGAGAGGGGGGAGGGTTGCGACCCCGAGTGGTTGGTGTGGGGGGAGGGGGAGGAGGAGAGGGGAGAGTTGCGGGACGAGGGGTGGTGAGGAGGGTGGGGAGAGACACGGTGGCTGGGGGAGAAGCGGTGGCGGGGGGAGGGGAGGGTGCGGGGGGAGGGGGAGCGGAGGTAGAGGGAGCGGGGGGAGGGGGAGCCGGGGGAGCGGAGGCGGCGGGCGGAGGGGGAGAGGTTGATGTAGAAGGGGGAGCAGGGCGTGCGGCGGGGGGGAGCGGCAGTGGGCGAGTTGATCCAGTCGTCCAGATTCATCAGGCCTTGAGGGTGGGTGGTGGCATTTGCAGCGGCGCTCTTGTAGGGGCAGTCTGCAGGACAGAGAGGGGGACAAGATGGGGGGGAAGGGGGGGGATGGGAATGAGCCGGATGGGAATGAGCCGGATGGGAATGAGCCGGATGGGAATGAGCCGGATGGGAATGAGCCGGATGGGAATGAGCTGTGACGATGTGAACAGACAAGACAAGACGCTCGGAATGGCAGTGCCAGGGAATGCATGCGATCGCAACCAGCCGACAGTGAAGGCCAGAAAGGCCGGTCATGTGATTGGATCTAAGGCGCACCTATCTTGAGAGCAGAGAGGCTGGCGCCAGCGCCAGCGCCCGACACGTCCATGGCTTCCACGTCCCCCTCGCCGCCCCTCTCCTCGCCGCCCCTCCCCTCGCCGCCTCTCCCAGCTGCCGCCTCCCCATCTCCCACACCACACCCCATCACTCCTCCACCCACTGCCACGCCGCCAGCAGAGGCACCGCCAGCACTGCATGTGGCAGCGGCGGCAGAGGCAGCGGCACCAGCAGCAGCAGCAGCTTGGGCTCCTGCAGTCGCTGCAGCGGCAGCACTAGCGCCATCACCCCTAGAGTTGGCAGCGCCATTGCCATTGCCATTACCACTGCCATTGCCACTGCCATTGCCACAACCAGCACAGCTTGCACAGCCGCCGCCATTTCCACCACCACCACCAGAGGAGTTCCGCTGCAGCCGCCTCTGGTGCAAGGACAGCTTTGACTGCCGCCCGGAGGACGAGGACGGGCGGCTGCCGGACGAGAGAGGCCGGCCGGTGGACGAGGAGGGGCGGGAGCGGGGGAGGAACGGCTTGGCGTGTGCGTGCATATGGGGGGGCAGGGACGACGGCACGGGCAGAGAGGAAGGCACGGGGCGTGTCTCTGCTGCTGTTGGAGGGGTGGTGGTTGTTACTGCTGCAGGTGCTGCAGGTGCAGCTGTAGAAGGTGGGGGGGTTGCGGTGTCCGTGCTGCCACCCTTGTCTGCATTCCCCACCTCTTCCGTCCTTGCAGCATCTCCCACGGCCCCGCGCATCGCTGCCATGCCTCGTGGCTCCTCTGCTCTTTCTGCTGTTGCATCAGCAGCAGCAGCAGCAGCAGCAGCAGCAGCAGCAGCAGCAGCAGCAGCAGCAGCAGCAGCAGCACCAGCAGCAGCAGCAGCATTGTGAGCGGCATCAGCCCCACAAAGAGTTTCATCGTCCCCATTGCCTCTGCTGCCACTGCTCGTGCTGCTGCTGCCCCCGTCCCCACCATCATCATTCACCAGGCTAACACCCATCTGGGTCCAGTCCTCCAGGAGACTGCTGGAAGCCACGTGCTGCAGATGTAGATCCTCGTAACCACCGCTCTGGTTACCACCATTCTGGTTACCACCATCACCAACACCGTTACCCCCGTTGCGGTTAAGCCCCCCTCCCCGGCCTCTGAGCCTGGCCTGCCTCTTGAGGTGCAGGTTCCAGAAATTCTTGACGTCGTTGTCCGTGCGCCCGGGCAGGTGCCGCGAGATCTGCGCCCACTTGTTGCCCATCACGCGCTGCAGGGAGAGCACCACGTTCGCTTCTGCCTCGGTAAACCGCTTGCAGCCCTTGCCGGCGTACCTCTGTCATAAAGAGGGGGTTGGAGGGTGTGAGGAGACGGGGGATAAGCATAGTGTGACACGCGAGGCAGCTCTTATTTCTTCTGCCTGCTGGTTACCACGGGCCCCGGCCTGGGTGCAGCTGCACTCAGCCGGGTTACCACCATCTGTGCAACCATCCGAATCATCCGCTCCCACCTGCAGGCCCGGCTTGAGCTGGTTGACCCATCGCAGCCGGCACCTCTTCCCCGACCGTCTCAACAATCCCCCGGCTCTCAGCGCACCCCAGTTGCGGGGCCCGTAGCTGCTCACATACTGCATACTGCATCACCACGCGGTCCTCCCCTGGCTGCTCCCACTCACTCACACTCACCGAATGCTTACCTGCTGCTTACCTGCTGCTTACCTGCTGCTTACCTGCTGCTTACCTGCTGCTTACCTGCTGCTTACCTGCTGCTTACCTGCTGCTTACCTGCTGCTCTGCCAGTAACCGGAAGACGTAGAGCTGGTAACCACAGGAAGGGGATGCTCACCTGCAGGCCCGGCTTGAGCTGGTTGACCCATCGCAGGCGGCAGCTCTTCCCCGACCGCCGCAGCAGCCCCCGGGCTCTTAGCGCGCCCCAGTTCCTGGGGCCGTAGCTCCCCACGTACTGCATCAGCACGCGGTCCTCCTCTGGTAACCACGTGCCCTTCGCCAGCCCAGGCTCCTCGGGATCGCTGCTGTCGCCGCCCGTTGCCGTGCCGCCCATGCTCGTGCCGCCCAGGCTGGTCTCGCCGCCCGTGGCCGTACCGCCCAGGCTGCAGCTGCTCATTCCTCCACCTGCTGCGCCGCTCATGCCGGCGCTGACGTCGTAGGAGCACGCAGCAGTGCCAGCACTGGCGGGGTCAGCCGCAGCAGCAGTGCCGGAGTTGGGGGAGAAACAGAGGTCGGCGTTCAGCAGCGCCTGGGCCAGCGCTTGGTTCTCCCGCAGGAAGGCGGGGAGATCGGATTCTGGCTCGCCTGGTGCTGCAGCAGAGTCGGAAGCAGGAGCCGCAGCAGCAGCAGCGGCGGCGCGCAGCCCATGGCTGCTGCGGCTTCGGCTCATGCCGCCGCCTCCTCGCTTGCCTCCGCCTCTTCCCTTGGTGCGCACCACACGAGCCTTGAAGCTGCTGCTGCTGCTGCGACTCTTGCGCAGACCAGCAGCCATAGCAGCAGCACCACCACCACCACCAGCAACATCAACAGCAGCAGCAGGACTGACACCCGCGTCTATTCCTTGGAGCTCCCCCGGACCCTGCAGAAGAAAGCCAGGAGCAGCAGACCCCTCGTCTCCCTCCCCCACGCCTTTCATGCCCTCCCTTGCACCCTCCCACGCGCCCTCACCAAGCCAGACTGCTAGAGGACGGCAGGTGCTGCTGCTGCTGTGGCTTCTGAGCATGGAACACCCGGCAGCAGCGCCAGCATCGGCAGGAAATGATTCGCCCTCCATCGCCTCTGCTGCTGCTGCAGCTCTCCTCAGAGGGGCGGTATTCGCCGGAGCCGTGCTGGCCCGGGGCAGCACGTGCACACTCATGTGCACATTGGGTGGCGACTGCTGTGCAGCAGCATGTGCGTTGGGCGCAGCCGGTGCAGGTGCGGCCACACCGGAATCCGCCTCAGCATTTGTGGCACAGGCAGCGTTTGTAGCACCAGCAGCAGCGGTTGTAGCGCCAGCAGAAGCGGTTGTAGCGCCAGGTGCAGGCGCAGCAACGGGCGGCGGAAGGCGCAAACCGGGCGGCATCTGCAGCAGCCGAGCGCCCTGGTAGCCGGCCCCCTTGCCCCCCTTATAGTCACATGGCTGCACCACAAGCGCCCTGCGCTCGGGCTTCAGGTCCGCGGGTGTCTTCAGGTCCGGCCAAGCCTGCGCTTGAGGCTCGGGCTGCAGCAGCAGGTGCTGCTGCTGGTGTTGCTGCTGCTGGTGTTGTTGTTGGTGGTGGTGCTGCTGCTGCTGCTGCTGCTGCTGCTGGTCCACCCAGAGATGGCTGAGAGGCGGGGCAATGCTGGAACGGCCATGATCAAAGGTGAGAAAGTCGGTGTCGTGCGCAGAAGCAGAAGCGGTGTCATAATGGGGCATGAGCGAGCCATGGGCGCTCACGGAGGCATGGTGACTTGGATGATGTCCTTGGCTCTTGTCTGGTGCGCCGCATATCATGCCTCCCCCAGTAGTAGCGGCATTCTGAGGCGCCTCAAAACAAAAATTGTCGTACTCGACAAACTCAGTTCCCTTATAAGCCGCCTCAAAAGAAGCGCCAGCTTGGTTTCCCGCGCCCATGGCGGCAAAGCCACCGCCGAATTCCGTCCGCGCAGCACAGCTGCCGTTGTCGAGTGTGCCGCCCAGGAGATCGTTCGCTTGTGGGCCACCCAGCAGCATAATGTCGCCGTGTGCGCCGCCCAGAAAGGTGTCATTGCCGCCCAAAAGCCCGTTATTGCCGCCCAAAAGCCCCTCATTTGTGCCGCCCAGAAGCCCCTCAGTCGTGCCGCCCAGCAGCCCGTCATTGCCGGCGAGCAGCGAGTCGTTGCCGGCGAGCAGCATGGCCATCATGCTCATGGTGCCCTGCGGGTCGTCCGCCGCGTCCCAGTGCTCGTGCTCGTCCGCCATGGCCCGCTGCAGCACCTCCATCGACATCGACACCGACATGGGCATGATTGACGTCGTCGGCATCGTCAAGGGCATGGATATTGACGTGGGCACTGGCATGCTGCTGCTGCCGTTCTCCATCGGAGATCTGACGCCCTGACTGACGTCCGACGTCTCTTGACGGAGGACGTCGACGGAGCTGACGGAGAGCGCGCGGCTAGGACCCGCTGTAGCAGTACAAGCTGGACTCGAGGAGTCCTCGGAGGATCGAGAAGAGGAGGCCGCTGGGAGCGAAGACCGTGCTGCTCGTGGCAACGATCGCGCGTGCTGCCTTGGGATCGCCGAACTGGTCGACGGTGTCAGTTGCGTGACTTGGACGCGCGAATGCACACCGAGCAGGCCGTCAGTTACGTGCGAATGATGTACGGCGTGCAGCGAAATGCGCGGGCGCCCATGGATGGGGGATAGCTAGTACTACTCGGTGAGATGATGCGAGAATTGAGGCCGAAAGGAGCTTGCATTAGCCCTGATGGCGGTGTGAACACTAAACAGTCGGGGTGATCGAGGCTGTTGTTATGCTCGCACGCTCAACGACGACGCCTCTCCGAGCGGCGAAGCCTTTTCTGAGGAAACGAAGTGAGAGTCCGACTCTAAATACCAGGATCAGAAATACGGAGTAGGTATACAGTAGGTACGGAATAGGTATGTCTGCTACGGAGTAGCCTTGCTATACGAACAACTATACCTATAGGAGAGATCCACATTTTTGTGTCCGCCGAGCGCCGGGCCCGCCTGAGCGCGCCCGGGACGGACTCCGCTTCACCGTGTCGCGCGCCCGCCGTGCGCGCGCACTCACTGTGACGGGCGCAGTGCACGGCCCGACCGTACACTCGTAGCGCACTCAAGCGGCATTCCAAGGAATCGGAATCGTGTGGCTCGCAGTCCGTCCGCCCGTCCGTCCGTCCGTCCGTGAGCCCATGACTCCGTGGCTGGCAGTGGGTAAAAACTACAGCCCGGCTTCTGCGGACGAGCAAGGAATCTCTTCCCTCAGGCGCTACAATCTACATCCACGGGCCAGAGAAACCATGCCGCTGAACCTTGGCCGTGCCGGCTAGCTGGGGTCGATCATATCACACTACTGCTTTTCTAAGAGCCCAGATTGGATTTGAATACGTCAAGAGTCAACACCCTTAAGCGATGATCATTAACTGCCTTAGCCTCGGCACGGGCTGCCAGCCTCGGCACTGTGGAGCGGACGGGCATCGTCCGAACCAGCCCAGCTGGTTCGGAAGCAGCGAGAAAGGCGAGCGGGTGCCGGTCGGTGATGCCGTCTGTCAGGAGAGCTGGAACGGGTAGTGCTGCTGACAAAAGCGACCTGTGGGAGCGCAATATCGAGACAATGTCGATATTATATCGTCCTTTTTGCACAGTGAAAGGAAAAAATCTTCTGTAGTCGCCGCCGCACTTGGTGATTGCTGCAGTGTGTCTCCTTGGCAGATAGTAATCTGTATTCGTCCGAGTAGCGGTAATAAGGACGTACATCCCTCGTACTACAGAACGACGAACGAAGGGTTTACAGTACTGCCGCGCCTGGGCGCTGTAGTACTGTACTGTACTCCTGAAAGCCTGATCCTCACCCGGGGACCAGGGTTGAGTCAGCGCTGGGACGAGTGGCTCGTCCAGGCGCGGAGGTCGGGGCTACCGTATACGACGAGCACGGAAGCCTGCTAATTGCTCGCTCTGACTGGATCGGAGGGATGCAGCGCCGCGATTGGAGGATATTAGTACTTACTCGCGCGTGCACGACTGGTGCATAAGTTAAACGACCCATGTCTAGTGTGCTCTATTTTCTTCTCCCTCTCGCTCCCGTTCTCATCATCGTCGCCCTCCCCCCTCCAGTCCCTTCCTTCACACACCTGCGCCTCCCTTTCCCTGAATCCTGTCCACATGGGCTCCCTTGCAAATCCATCATGAGCCTCAGTCGGTAACCGGGAATGAGTGGGAGAGCTGGGGGAATGGAGGGAGGGAGGTGATGGATGAGAGGGGGAGGCGGGGAGGGGAGGGAGGTTTGATGGGGGAGGAAACGGGGGAAGGGGGGGGGGGATGGGGGGGGAAGGGGGGTACAGTATAGAGGGCGGGGGAATATCACAGGGTTCCGCTAGTCTCTTATTTCTGACGTGGAGCGGAGGAGGTGTTTCGGCGCGGGCGTTGCACGTGAAACGAGGCTGGTGCGCTGCATGCGCAGCGCTGGCAGGATTCAGTGCATGCTGCGTCTATGGTTTCGCGGAGCAGAGCCCGGCGGAACGAAACCCGGGAGGTTCTGGAAGGCGCGGCAGGCAGGCAGGCAGGCAGGCAGGCAGGCAGGCAGGCAGGCAGGCAGCAATCGGGATCATAAGCAGCGGCGAGGCGAGTGCAGGTCGCTCCTTCCAGCCTGCTGCACATGGTGCGATGCACACTGTGCCAAGTGAATGCCGCTATCGGATCAGAGGAGGAACCCAGCGTGACCTTTGAGTCGACTCAAAGTTCGCTGCACAGATCCCCCGGCGCGGAAAGGCAAGGCCCGAAAGCTTCCAAAAGCTTCCACGCGCCGACCTTTTTGGAACGGTGCGGTACAGTAGCAAGGAAGGAGGAGCTGTAGCCCGCTCTTTCTGCCCCCGTGCGCAGCATTCTGCGGACAGAATCCTGACCGGAGCTTGTCCGCAAGCATAACTTGGATGTGCTGTATTATGGCTTCCGTTTCGTAGCCGTACTGTCAGCAGTGAGTGGGCGAGAAAACTAGGAAGCGACAGGGGGCGTCAAGGCATGTTGCTCTTGGGCGGCCAAATAGCGCCAGAAATGTACCTACAGCGGGTGCTGCTCCCCGTTATTCCAGGATGGACCTCGCCGTTGATTGGATGTGAAAGAGCGCGCAGAGGATTGGATGAGAGGGCATCGTAGCAGGTAATGAGGGCGAATCAGCGACGTCCGAGGGGGGAACGAGCGGGGAGCAAGGAACTGGTCCCTAAATTGCCAAGGGTGAGGGCAGGTAAGGAAGAAGGGAAGGTGATTGAGGGAGGAGGATTATGGCGGGAGCAACAGAAGTAACCGTGGGCGGTATGAGTGGGTGAGTGGGTGAAGACGCCGACTATGGTTCATTTTGGGGCTAGGGAAGGGAGGCTCGAGCCGAGGGGACTAAGTGAGGACTCGAGGGGAAGGAGGGGCGGTGGCAGTGTTGAATTTGGGAGATTGCTGGAAACGGGAGGACAGTAACATTCGTACACACTGCACTGAGGCTGCTGGATCGAGTCGCGTGATATGCGGCTCGGAATGCGTGCTGTTGTTGGTCCCATAGCGGTCAGCCGAAGGAGGGATGCCGCAAAATTCTGTTCTCGGTCAGCCATGTCTGCGAGTTGTGGGGGGGATGACTGAGGGCGGTCAAGCGAAACGGGTAAGGATCAGGCAATCGAAACGTGCCACGTAGAAAAGAGTTTCCCATGCCAGCGTCGCTTCAGCTTCTGTGAGTCTCGGCCCGTTTTTCAACTGCCTTGCTTGTCCTGCCTTAGATGTTTCGTTAGTGGGTTCACCGTCTTTATTAGTGCTCATATACACCTCCGCAACCACCTGATCATCTCATAGCATGACAAATAAAACCATCGACCACCTTGATAAAAAGGCTATGCTTCTTGTGGGAAACAAAAACATACGATATTAGAGCATGACGGAACTTATCGCAAATTTCACGTAGTAAACATTCCACAATTGATTAAACTGGATTCGCTAGCATACCGGTACCACTGTTGCGCATGCCTCACCAACCTCCAACATACATGATGCTTCTTTATCGTAGCATCGTATGTCAGTGAAACTGGCACGACCATCGACCTCACTTTTTGGAAACATAACTCGGTGTACTACGGTGCTGAGGCATCCCGAGGGGTCTGTACGGCCACTCCATCTTGTTTCGAGCTACCAGGCGTGGTGGAATGACCTGAAGGAAGCACTACACCTCTGCAATCTCCAAAGCCAATCGTCACACCACAGGGCAACTGAGGGGAAGGGAGAGGGGCACGAACGAGGGAGGGAAGAAAGAGAAGGAACGGCGACGAGGGTTGGGAAGGGGAGCAGAGCAGCATTAGTGGAGAGCGCGTGATGGACACAAACAACACAAGCATAAACAGGCCGCGACACGAGTCCGGGATTGTGACCAACCTGGCAGCTTGCCGTCATGATAACCTCATCCCCATCCTCCAAGTATGTTCGGCGCATGGCTCCCGAGCCTGAGGCTCGGTCGGAGGCTTGGGAAGAGCCGTCAGATACCCTACATCCGTCGGGGGAGAGCTCCAGGGTCAGCCTGCCGCCCTGTGTGCGCTCTAGCATGCACCCCTCACTGCCCTCTGACTGGTTCAAGATACAAGGAGGGCACACAGGGGATTGGCGGGTGGCGCATGGGGGAAACGGGGCGGGGAAACAGGTGGTGAGTGTCAGATGAAAGATATTGACTAGGTTCAAGGACCACAGGAGCTCATTCTCAGCAGTTTGAAGAAACGGGCCCCGGGAACTGGCAGGCAACGAGACTGATAAGGGCAAGAATTGGCAGGAGGTAGCAGGAGCAGGAAGCAGAGAGTGACGCACCAGGCCTGAGATGGTGGGCCTCAGATGGTGCCAACCTTTTTATCGGGCCTCAGACAGTGCCGAACCTCTTACCAGGCCCGAGATGGTGCCGAACCTCTTACCAGGCCCGAGATGGTGCCGAACCTCTTACCAGGCCCGAGATGGTGCGGAACCTCTTACCGGGCCTGAGATGGTGCCTGACGCCAGCAGGTCCCCGGGTCTCAAGGGGCAGCCATTGATGCTGTGGTGCGCCACCTGCTGGGATATCGTCCAGTACCTGCAGTGGTGGGGGTGGGGGTGAAAGGGGGTGATAGGGGGTGATGGGGGGTGATAGGGGTGATAGGGGGTGATAGGGGGTGATAGGGGGTGATAGGGGGTGATGGGGGGTGATGGGGGGTGATAGGGGCTGATAGGGGGTGATAGGGGGTGATAGGGGGTGATGGGGGGTGATAGGGGGTGATGGGGGGTGTATCATGAAGAGTGTGGAGAGGAGGGGGGACAAATTCTCGCACGCTCCCTTGCCTGAACTCGTGCATGCACCCATACATGCACACATGCATGCACCCATACATGCAGACATGCATGCACCCATACATGCACCCATACATGCACCCATACATGCACCCATACATGCAGACATGCATGCACCCATACATGCACCCATACATGCACACATGCATGCACCCATACATGCAGACATGCATGCACCCATACATGCACCCATACATGCAGACATGCATGCAAACATACATGCACCCATACATGCAGACATGCATGCACCCATACATGCAGACATGCATGCACCCATACATGCACCCATAAACGCACACATACATCCACCCATACATGCAGACATGCATGCACCCATACATGCACCCATACATGCACCCATACATGCACACATGCATGCACCCATACATGCACACATGCATGCAACCATACATGCACCCAGACATGCACACATGCATGCAGCCATACATGCACCCATACATGCACACATGCATGCACCCATACATGCACCCATACATGCACACATGCATGCCCCCATACATGCACACATGCATGCACCCATACATGCACCCATACATGCACACATGCATGCACCCATACATGCACACATGCATGCAACCATACATGCACCCAGACATGCACACATGCATGCAGCCATACATGCACCCATACATGCACACATGCATGCACCCATACATGCACCCATACATGCACACATGCATGCCCCCATACATGCACACATGCATGCACCCATACATGCACCCATACATGCACACATGCATGCCCCCATACATGCACCCATGCATGCAGCCATACATGCACCCATACATGCACACATGCATGCACCCATACATGCACCCATACATGCACACATGCATGCCCCCATACATGCACCCATGCACGCCCCATACATGCACACATGCATGCACCCATGCCCACCAGTTACCCACAGGTGGTTGAAGTTGCTGCTGCACACAGGGACAGGCGGCAGTCTGTGAGAGAGCGACGCCTCACCAGAGGCAGGGGGGGAGG